CACCCACCCGCTATCTTAAACATTGTACGCTATATGCAACTACCTCTACCTTATTGAGAACAATATACCAGCTAACTAATGTACAACAAAATCCCATCCTATACAGTGTTCATCCGCTTTCCGTCTGTACGTGAGAAGGCCTGGCAGATAGTATTGGGCCAAACTGAAAATCCCCCGTAAGATCATCCTTCCTTACGAGCACTGGGTAGGGTCCCCATCTTTGCCAGAACCGCTCCTCTCTGTGATTGCTTCTACAGCGATGCAGATCTGCCATAATGGCCACACGAATTGACTCAGTAGATCTAGCTTGAAGAGTACTTGTTGATACCACTGCACCCCGTCTAAGCCGGTCGTTACGTGCTGTCCAAGTCGTCCACAGGGCTTCCGCTCACAAGATTTCTCCGGCAAGCAGCTGCTCTTGGTCTGGCAATTTTGCGTTACTGCAACACCCAGCAAGATGGTTGCCGTTTCATCCTCTGTTATCTGTAGAGGGGAGCTATCTGCAATCTCGTTCGCCCACCAGACCCAAAAAGCCTGAACTACTGGGCACAGTACAAACATGTGTGGAATGGACTCGTCCCCTCCACATCCTGCTGCACACTTCAAGTCTTTGTAACGACTCTTTGGGGCCTGCCATTTTGCAGTGGGAACCGCCAGATGTACAATCTGCCATAGAAGATCCGCATGTTTCTGGTCCGGGATGGCAGCCCATACTGCACAATGTACTCTCCATCGCTTGCGAGACCATGTGGAAGCCACTCACGTTTAGCCCATCGAGATCACACCTCCTCCCATATGTCTTCAAGAGCCAATAGAGATCTATATATCTTCTTCGTTGAAATGCGTTGTAGCTCAGTCTGCCTTCGTTGGTGATGCTGCCTCGGCCAAGTCCACCCCTGTGGGTCAAATACCAGGTCCCTTTTGCATTTTGAGATGCAGAAGGGGAGCAACTGATTCTTGTCTCTTTGGTCCCCCTTGCAGACTGTGACTGTTTCGATCCTTTCTCGAGGGAGGCGGCGGTGAAGAAGGGTGCCATCCGCTCCGCCAGGTTGCAATGGCAATCCCAAGCCTCGCCAGCCCGTCAGCACCTTCCATTCTGTTGCCTTCACCACTTGCCCATTCAGGGCATGCCGCTCCACTCTGAATACCTTCATCGGGTGAGCCTCACCCTTCAACTTTACCCATTCCCCTCGTCGAAGCGTGTTCTAACGCAGGAGTGTTATCCACTGGGTCGGAATGTGACGCGCAAACCTCACGCCCTGTGCTGTCTTTCGTTCGGAGTGTTAGGCGTGCGGAAAGAGGCCCAGAAAAACAGCAAGATGGGGTGTGCCAAGGATTTTTGGAAATTGAGTGTGGGGACACAGATGGAACTGAAATCCCCCGTGTTGGTC